GATCTTTCTGAACGTTTTTGGCGCCATGCAAGGCTTTCATTATTAGAGGTCGGCAAGATAGTCCTCTAGTACTAACCCATGATTGTAACCTTAAGTAAATATCGATAATCTGGGAGCCTGATTGTGGGATAATGATAATTAAGCTAGTTTTATATATTTTATAGAGCACTATTTTGGAGTAGTGAGTTCGATTCGCACACACTCCCTGGTCTGCCATCCATTTACACTAACTTGCTCGGGATCTTATTCACCGTTTCCCTCTATCATACTTACATTCAATATGTTCTGTGAGTTTCAAAATTTCCAAACCGCCTTTCTTCTTTATGTCTCACAGAATTTTCATCTCTTTCAGATTTTGTGTGTTTTTTTGGTTCCATTTTCTTTAAAATTTCCTTGTTACTCAAATGTCCAGTCTATGGGATTCTTAGCATCCTTCTGTAGAACCATGTATCTGCTGCTTCAAGTCTACTCTACACATGTGAGCATATTACCCAGCATTCACTCTCATCTAGCAACTCTTTGGGAATGGTATGAATTCACCTCTTCTCCCTCTAGATATTTTTTAATGCACCCCACCTCACGGCTGTACCAACAAAATACAAAGAAATATTGGTCATTACTTTTGGAGCCGGCTTGACTGCGGGAGTTTCCGGAAAATGCCAGTATTGACAGCCAACTGCCTTCCGGGATCCACTCAGGGTTTTCTGTCTGGATTTACTTCTATATCTTTTCGTTTTTGGATATGAGAGCAAGGTAGTATAGCTTTAAAATCAGGATTTCCTTCTCCTAGATGAATTGCTTTCCTGGGCCGTCATGCTCCATCTAACAGAAACAAATGTTTATGAGGCTATATGTACTATATCAATGAATAAATTGTATTATATATGTGAATATAGGATCCTTGGTATTCTATAACAGACTTTACACTTTTCAGCAATTGTTAACTATTCATCTGGCATTAACATCTGTCGCCGCCGTTTGTATTGTTTCTTTCTTGAATTCCATTCTCATGTAATCTTTTCTAATGATGGACCATTGGATCAATATCTGGAGAGACAGTCGGCCATTCCAGTAATTTTGTGTCTTTGAAACTGTCTTTTGGCAAGATGGACAATAGTCAGCTTTGCATAATCGGAGGAGTATTGCTTTTAATTATAAAACGCTTGGGCATAACGCCTCTTATTTGTGATCCTTCCCACGAAATAAAAAATATTTTTCTCTAGAATTATATTATTCTCTGAAATTATGTTGATATCAAATATGAGGGGACCTATGATTTAACTGCCTATATTACTGGATGCAAACATTGCTCTATAACAACATTGTTGTATTCTAATCCGTGTTGGTTGATTATTTCCATGAAGAAACCCACCTCTAGCTTAGCCATCCAATATGTATGTATGTATATATATATATATATATATATATATATATATATATATATATGTGTGTGTGTGTGTGTGTATGTATGTATATATATATATGTGTGTGTGCGTGTGCGTGCGCGCGCGTGTGTGTGTACAGGGTGATTGAAATTCCCCATTTTAAAATACTTATATTTATGAACTATGATTTTTACAAGAAATGAATATGAGAGAAAAGTGTTTGGCATGATATTTTAATTTCAAATTAGATATGGAGACCAAATTTCGCGCTGTCCAGGAATCGCGTCAATTGATTTCACCAGGTACTCTTGTGGTATGGAAAGCATAACTTGTATTCGCCTCTTAAGTTTTTTTTTTTTTTTTCCAAATCTTGGTTTGATATAGTAGACTTGCGCCTTTAACCGGTCCCAAAAGAAAAAAAAAGTCACAGGGTGTTTTGTCAGGAGTCCTCGCTGGCCAAACATACATAAAATAGGAAGTTATTAGGTTGGTGCAAAAATAATGACGTAATAATGTCCTTTTTGACGTATTTTTAACGTCGAAAAACGACATTATTACGTCATTATTTTTGCACCAACCTAATACTTTTCAAGTTATTCTTCTTCGGTCAATCAAATCCATTTCTCTCAGTCACTGTGTATTTATTTAAAAATAAATACGTTTAAATTAACCTCCGTCCCTGTTGTGCACCAACGGCTTAGTGGCAGAATCCCCGACTCACACCAATTCAGTCGGCTTTCTATCCTAGCTAGAGGCAAATGGACGTCTAACCACACTGATGAACTGTGATACAGCAAAGCAGTCTGTCTGTCGATGATTATATATATATATATATATATATATATATATATATATATATATATATATATATATAAATGTGTGTGTGTAAAAATTCAGATATAAATAAAATATATACGTAAAAAGACAATATGAATAAAGATAAAAAGAAAATATTTCTTTACCTACACATATCATCCCCTGATGAGCATTATCAAGGTAAATTGTAAGCGTTTTATTTTGCAACCTGTATTTACAAACGTAAGTAAAAATATTATTAGGCATTCAATTTTTGAAAAAATTACGACTGCATAAAAATATTCTTAAGGCTAAGTGTGAGAGTAAAGATAAACTATGGACGGTTCTAAGTGATATAATTTAATAGCTAATTTAACGAATGGGTGCTAAAAACAAAGGGAAGAATACTAACTGGAATGAATGCAAATATAAGAGAAAATAAAAATATGAAAGAGGCATTTTAAAGAAAAAAGAAAATAAACAGGCCGGAAAGAGAAAAAGAAAAATACGTGAAGCTTGGATTCATAGATACAGGCCGTCCTGGATATGACGATAAACTACATCCGCGTCTTGGTTAAGACGATAAACTACTTCCAACAGCAAGGCCTTTGATCAGGAGGTTTTGAGGAGCGTGGAACCATCTCTTAATTGCTGGTGTTCCTACCCGGGGTGGTAGCAACTGTGAGGGTCCCAGCTGTGGGCAAGTGGTTAACACCCAAACTTGTGTAAAAATAGGTTTTACTACCAGAAATACTTTGTTAAAACTTTTACGAAAATAAAACCATCCAAGATTGTAAATTTCCTAAAAGAATTTGGATTGTACTAAAAATATGAGTAATTGAAAAATGGTTCAAATATATATGTATACATACACACCTGTTTTACCAAACTATCGCTATGAATCTATTTAAAAAAAGTGTTACCATTAAATGACTCACTGAGGTTTTGATATGCCATAAAACAAACCAGCAAACATAGATACAGGACGGCATAAGGGGCATTTATTAACACCTCCTAAGCTAAGGTTATAAAAGTATATGACGGAAATTGCTGATAAATGACAGATGGATAAATGACAAATGGATAAATGACAGATGGATAAATGACAAATGGATAAATGACAAATGGATAAATGACATTTACTGCGCATTTCTTAGAACAGCCATGGACATTTTACAAGATAGGTTTCTTCCAGCATATGATAGAAAACGTAGATTAATAAAATTTAATACACGCTTAGCGCTGCAAAATTAAAAAAAAAACATAAAATTAAGTATTAATTACAATTACTAAGCTTATAGTTATTACGTTCAAAGTTAGGTATTTCGAGAAAATGATTACAAATTCTCGTAATAATAACAGTAAGTACAAAGACGTTAGTCATAAAACGTCATCATTATTAAAAAAAAACAGGGAGCTCAAATGACATAACGTTTAAATATTTGATAAAAAAGATATTAATCTGAGAAAACAGAACCATCAAGATAAAAGAAAGTTTTTTTTTTTCTGGCTGGCTTTCTATTCACACTTTCTTTCGGAATTGTTAATGGATAGCTTTGTCTTTAATTTACATCGTCTGTGTTTTGAATTATGCCAGTCTTACTAAACCGTCTTCGAGTTTGCCATCCCTTAAAGAAACGTTATTCAACAAACAGCGAATAACAAGCATAATGTCCAACATAATCACAGGGTACGAATTTCTTGTACAAAACTATGTTATTACTACTGTTGGGCAGAAATGTCTGCAACACATATAATATTGGTGCTTGCGTGGGTATATATATGCGGGGAAGATATAATGAAAGGAAAATCGCTTTCTTATGACCAACAGAATAGGTTTGGTTATTATTGGCAACTAGGTAGCCTACAGTAACGGTTTTCTTTTTATTCTGCATGCAAAGCCAACAATTATGAGCTTGGTTAAAAGGGTTGACAATAGACAGTACAACGAATGGCTTAAGATTTTTTCTTAAGACATAAAACAGCATAAGAAGAAGTATCTAAACCGTTTTAAACATTACAATATATATATATATATATATATATATATATATATATATATATATATATATATATATATATATATATATATATTGTCTTTATACATATTGTCTTAATATATATATGTATATATGTATATATTTTCTTTATATATATATATATATATATATATATATATATATATATATAGACAAAAGAAAAACTTATCTTAGCCGAGGCGTTTTGTCATCTGTGGGACGTTATCAAAGGCAAATGCAAGGCTTTAACATTTGTTTTGATTTTATATATATATATATATATATATATATATATATATATATATATATATATATATATATTATTTATACATATTGTCTTAATATATATATGTATATATGTATATATATATATATATATATATTTCTTCATATATATATATATATATATATATATATATATATATATATAAAGACAAAAGAAAAACTTATCTTAACCGAGGCGTTTTGTCATCGTTGGGACGTTATCAAGGCAAATGCAAGGCTTTAACATGAGTTTTGATATATATATATATATTTATATATATATATATCAGTGACAGTTACCGAGAGACCACTTTAAATGAACAGTATGCTCACACCCTCGGACGTGATGGCGTTATTATGTGCAACCGCAACCATGACTTCCGAACAATTTAGTGTACGCATTTTCATTCCCAGTCCTTGGATCAATTCGTCGCATGCTATTCAGGTACTTCCCGACAGCACGGCACGCTAGGATCATATCCCCAGCCTAATATTATCAGCTCCTTAAAAATCGATCATAGGCTTACGGCTACAAGATTTTGAAACATTGGTTCCCGTACGATCACCGAAGTTAAGCAACGTCGAGCCTGGTCAGTACCTAATTGGTCGACCGATTGGGAATGCTAGGTACTATAATCATGAGTATACGGGTGGCGTAATGGATAATGGGTCGAAATTGTTAATCAGGGTACCTACTTCCAATTCCCTTTTGTGTTCGTCATATTCACTTACGCGTAAATATCCTTGGGAATGGTATAGACCAACCTTTTCTCCTCCCAGCTATGTGTTAATGTCTCACCCACTCTCGGCTGTACAGACAAGATTCATAGGAATGCTAATATTATCACCTCCTTAAAATCGATCATAGGCTTACGGCCAAATACGTTGAAACACGTACGATCATCGAAGTTAAGCAACACTTTGGAATGGTATGAGCCTACCCCTTCTTCCTATGTTTTACTGCGGTTCACCTCTCGGCTGTACCGACAAGATACAAAGGAATACTGGCCATTACATTTGGACAGATTGACTGCAAGAGTCAATGTCGACAGCCAATCGTCTTCCGGGATTCACTCCGTGTTTTATGTCTGGATTTACTTCCATAGCCATTTCCGCTTTTGAATGTGACAGCAAGGCAGTGAAGATTTAAAATAAGGATGTTCCTTCTTATCATTAATATCATATTTTACGGTGTAAATTAACAAATTCTAAAAAATTCGTTTCGGATATGCACTTTTTTTTTTACTGAACTTGATAGTGGGATTTTGATGAAACAACACTTTTTACATGTATACACTGCCGTGCCAAAAGTTATGGGGTAGCAGTATGGAAATGTAACAGTAGGTGATGCCATAATAACTTGACATCATGGAAATGCCTAGGCCTATATCTGTGTGCTCTGATGATTGAATATGAACTCCTGGCACAACGCTCATGGCAGCGCGATGTGAATTGTCGAAGTTCAAACAGTGAATGCTAATGTATGCCAAATGAACAGGAAATTCCATCTCTGAAATTATGGAGATATTTGGCATTCTCTTCAATCTACGGTTTCATATAGCGGTCATGCCACGCCACCGTGGACAGCATATTAGTCGATCACGAGTCCTTTATTATCAAAACCAAAAATATGTAACTGGAACAGTCCGTAGAATCAGACAAGTGACACTAGCTTAAATCGCACCAGCAGGCACAAGAGGAATAAAGTGCTCAACAGTGCCCCAAATTGTCATTCTTAGGAATCCTGGGCTCGTGACGTCGCTAATCGGACCATGGAGTTTTGGCAACGTGTAGCGTTAGGCACGGTATCATTTTTTTCGTGTTCATAGTAGCGGTCGGGTTTGCTGCATAGGCAGTTGCCATTGAAGATCCCTGTTGTCAGTAAGGCAGATTGCAGGCGTTTGGTGGTCACATAATGGGCTTTGCTGTGTTCATATGGGATTGTTATGGCTTGCTGGTCCGCCTAAACACGTTTATTTTCACGTATCAAACAATTTCAAAGCGATAATGCATCGTGCTTCATAGCACGGTGCATTATCCCGTTGAAATTGCCTAAGCTGCCAGGAATTGGTTTGAGGAACATTTTGAGCTCTTTCAACAAATGCTAGAATCCTATAGATATGGGGCGCCCGAGTGTGTGCCGTTCGATATATGGTGTTAAAGTCTGTTCTAACGCAAGTTCCTATACCTATAAATTTTAAGGTAGCCATGAACGTATCTCAAAACTGCGTGGCAAAACATTTCTCCAAATATTTCCTGATCCTTTGTGGAATCGATTCTGTTTCAGTTTGTTCCACTTCGCCGTACTAAACGGGTGCTGTACAATACTTGGCATCTGCCATAAGACATCTGGCATGTCAGTGTACATATATGCGATTATACTTTTATGTAAATATGACTTCAGTTTTTAAACAGTGAGTGCTTATTACATGAATGTGTCTTTATACTCTGCCAGACAAATGAAACATATGAAAACAAATCTTCCTTGAATATATAAGTGTTTCAATTTGCTGATATAATGTAAAAAAAAAAAACACAAATTTCTTCTGTTTCAGTCTTCATTTTTGTTGTGGAGTGATTTCACAGTGGAGGCTTGTATTTGTACTAAGTCGGTCCTAAAATAGGTTCGACGTACAAAACGTTAGGAACTTGATATAATAGGTAATGACGCAGAGAAATCTAGTGGTGGTCGCTGATAGTTTAGTATTCGACTAACGGTCGTCCGGCATCGACTGACTGGCCAACTCACTGAGCGACCCAGCGACGGTATTTAGTCACCCTCCGTCCACGTGGGCATCATGTGGCACAAGGCCGGTTTAACGTGGGATCGGCCAAAATACGCCCATTGAACCTGTATAAACGGGTTCAGGGTCGGTTTCCCTCCCCAAAAGAGAATCCGCCCTTCGGCGTAGCCTCGTTCGGGTTCCTCCCCGCCCCGAAGGCGGAGAGTTCAACCGGTCAGCCGGTCGCCTGACTTCAGACTGAACTCAGACCGAACCGCTGAGCGACCCAGCGACACCCTCGTTACTCTTACTACTCCTACTTATTATAGGTGGGAGAGTCTATTAACTATAGAATAGGTGTGTTCCACTATAACAATTTTTAACCAATTTTTTTTCGGTAGGTAGCGTAGTATTATTTCGTTCGAGAATTGATTTCGGTTTTCGAGTGATTAACTTCTGATGATTATAACCAAAGTAAACAGGGTAACACTATGTTGTATGCAAAGTAAAAAGAAAAAAAATGAAAGGAATATTGGACAAGGTAGTAAAGGAAAGAAAGTAGAAAGGGAGCCATTGGCAATATCATTCATCGCGATCTACTTATGATCTACCAAATACGATCAAAACTCAAGCTGTGGATGTGCACTGACATGAATGTATGCGCATTATGTGATCGAGGCACTTGACGTCACGTGCTCTGTGTGTGCTCGCAATCACTCCAGATATACACGTGGCGTCACAAGAAAGTAATGGAAAACAAGAAGAAAATGAAAACTCTTAAATGTAGGTAGAGAATGCCTAGTTGTTGGTTAAGAGACAATTCAGCATTTGAGGTGTGCATTGGGAACATCAAAACCAAGCTCATCCAAAGCGTGACAACGGAAAATATGAGATTGAAATCTGAAGGCGCATATCTTACAGAAATTATGCAGTGTTATGAGATACGAAGATATTTATAGAAACAAAAACAAATTACTGCTGAAGCCCTGTGTAATATCTAATCGAATCTATGTGGCCATAAATGTTGTATAATTTCTTCATAGATGTAAAAGAGTCTTGAAGCAACAGATATATGATTCTACCGACGAATGTCGAGAATAACAGACAGAACATGTGAGCAACTAGGAAGTTTTAATGAAAATAAGAACTACAAGGAAACTTCAGATTTAAATAATAAAGAAAGGGTGCCTAGAGAATTTAACACCCATGTAACATATTGAGGGCAACAAAAGCAAGAGGAAACAGCGGGTAAACTATTTAAACTTTTTTGAGTGAATGGATGGCAAGATCAAAGGGTGAAAAGTCATAGTAAATTGGTAACGGTTAGAGCAACAAAAAGCAGGAACTTATGGAGAACCATGATCGTCCATACTCGAAAAAAACATGGGCACGTAAAAGAAGAAACTTTAATGCTACTGAGAGTGCGCAGAAATGACTATTAAACTGATGTCTGTCCACAAAACCCTTGCTGTGTAGAAACCAATTTAGAAAGGGAATCTCTTCGACCAAAGGTTTAACTAAATACATGCATCCAGGTTTACAAGACGATATTGTCATTTCAATGACGACAGTGCGTTTAATTATGTTTTAAGTCTGTTGCGATCATTTTTCATCCAAATAATCTTCGGTATTAATCTGTCTATTCTTTTCACTAGCTTTGGGTAAAATAGCAGGGTAGAATTGTTTTTTTCTAGCCTTTGGTGGCGACCTGTCCAAGAGATTTAAAACTTCGAGTACCAAACAGTGGAGAAGTGAACGGGAGACTACTCCAGTGTCTTTCCCAAAAATGCTTTGCAATTTTCAGAAAATAAACAAACACAGAGCTACAGGACGATAGCAACCCCATGTTTTGCTGAAGCCGAAAACTAAACAGTGGACTAAATGTGTGCCCTTGGCCTCAATCTATGATAATGTTATTGAGATTAGCTCTATTTTTGTTTTTCTAAAATCATTACAGCCATGAATTTCCAAAATAAATCAGAAAACTTTATTTTCCGTTTTTTTTCTAAAACATTTATGTGCGTTTTATACGAAGAAAAAAGTTTATGCGACTTATCCCAGAAAATAATTACAAATAAAAATAAAAATATATTCAGAATCAAAGCAAAAATACTTTACGGTAAAGTATAAAATATGTTCATTGTATGAGCGAATCAAATAAAATATATATATATATATATATATATATATATATATATATATATATATATATATATATATAAGTAATCCTTAATATCTTATTTAGCATGACCCCTTTTTTAACATTCTGTTTCTCTACCCCTCTTCTATGTTGTGGTACCCTACTTTATAAAAAAAGAAATATGTAAAGAGGTATGATTATAAAAGCTGGCAGCTCCTTTTCTAATATGCCTGTCTGCTAGGGTGACTAGCAATCCCTGTTGCAAACGCCTGTTCAGGCACATTTTTGTTTGTTCAGAGTCTACCTGTATCTTATATTGCAATGATGCTGAGCAAACCTTAGTTACTGCTTCTGGGAGAAAGAACGGCTTACGACCATATAGAGTTGAAACACCAGTTCCTGTACGGTCATCGAAGTTAAGCAATGTCGAGCCTGGTCAGTATATAGATGAGTGATTGCCTGGGAATACCAGGTGTTGTATGCTTGAATGTGCTGGTGGTGTAGTGGATAATGGTTCGGAATTGTTAATCGGAGAGTCGAGTTCAAATTCCAGTTGGGTTTCGTTGTATTCACTTACGCGCAAATACCTTTGGGAAAGTATGAAGCCACCAATTCTCCCTTCATCTATGGATTAATTAGTAAGATCTGTACAAGCAAATTATTATTATCTCCAAACAATTCTTACAATCGAAAAAGTTTTTTTCTGGCTTTAAATAACCTTTAAAGTGTTGATAAGCTGTAGAAAACGAATCAATTTTAAAATTCAAACTGAAATTTCAAACTGCATATGATTTTTCTTTAAATAAGAAACAAGTCTTAAACTTTCTAAGGAAAACAATATGTGCGGGTTGCGTAAAGGATAGCGGCTCGGAACGCGAAAAAAGAGAGCCGTGTTCTTTGCGTTCACTTACGCCGAAATACACTTGAAAATTGTATGATCCTAAATTGCCCCTCAGGTATGGGTTAAATAATATGACTTTTATCTGGTAAGATCAGTGTTATTTTGAAAAAAGTTGTTAAACTAATATTAATTCGCAAAAAATAAGTATTGCATTACTATCCAAAAAATATGCTTCGACTTTTAACCATAAAAGAATGATTTCTGATTTCCAATTCCGAGCCGTTATATACTATATCACTCGCACATCCAAGCATTCAGCACCAGGTATTCGCAAGCAATCACCCATAAAGATACCGACGAGGCTCTACATTGCTTAACTTCGTTGACCGTACAAGAACCACTGTTTAAACGTGATATGATCGCAATCCTGTTATTATTTCAAATATCAGCATCTAAGATGAGTCTCATAACAGCTATATTCATATTTTTGATAATAGTTGAAATTATTGCAAAATTTAAAACCCTTTCTCCATTATTACATAAAAAAAATAAAATGTTTGACGAGAATTAATCAAATTATTCCAATAACGAATGCGACCAATAAAAATAAGTTATGGTTTATAATCAGTTACTCCTTTCATGAAATGAACCCAATAAGATCTAACAAAAATATTAAAATTAAATGCTGAGTAACTTATAAAAAACACATCAATCAAACATAGATGTATTAGAAGAAAAGTCAACTAACTCTGAAAATATAGAAGCAGCATGGGACAATTTATGTGGATGGAATTTACAAGTAATGTTTAGAAAGATGAAAAACATTTCAAAGCACGCATAATGTACCGTTTTATGTAGACTTTTGTTGCATATGCTTATTGGTAGGTTCGATTAAACAAAGGATTTTTATTTTAAATATCTATATTGGAATGTTTTACTTTCGTTATAGAATGAAACGAATTGCTAAGGAAACTACAGTCGTAACACGTAGCGTGTTGAGTCTGTGGCCTTGTACTCCCAAGAGGAGACGAGAGGATTAAAAACAGCAACAACAACAACAACAACAATAGAATCAAAATAAATATACGTGAAATAAAGAATAAAGTGATAATAAAAGATTAGATATTTGAAAAAAATAAATAAATAAAAGAAGGCCAAAACAGAAAAAGAAAAAACAAAAAGTGCAGCGAAAAAGATAGAAAATGTTGAAGAGTGTCAGAGGGAGCAATGTAAAAAAATGAAAAAGCGGGAAAACGGGAAAGTGAAAAAAAAAGGAGAAAATGTCAGAGAGTGAAAGAGGGAGAAAATGTAAAAAAAGTGAAAGAGGGAGAAAATAAGTGAAAGAGAGAGAACACGTCAGAGAATGAAAGAGGCAGAATATGTCAGAGAGGGAAAGAGGGAGAAAATGTAAAAAAAGTGAAAGAGGGAGCACATTTCAGAGAGTGAAATGCAGGAGAAATTGTTAAAAAGTGTGAGAGGGAGAACATTTCAGAGAGTGAAAGAAGGAGAATATTTAAAATAGTGTGAGGGAGAACATTTCAGAGAGTGAAAGTGCTACGATATGTCAGAGAGTGAAAGAGGGGGAAGTGTTAAAAGGTGAAAGAGGGAGAAAATTCAGAGAGTGTAAAAGTAAATATATAAAAAAAAATATTTAAAAAAATGGAAGATTTGTAAATGTTTATGAATAAACGGAACGAGAAAAGGTAAGTTAATGACTAACATGAGTTGTAAGCAGCATTAAATAAAAATTATGCCGTCCGTATTTTACACAAGATTCTGAAAATATCAAATTATTTGTACAGAAAAAGAAAGCAAATAGAAGAATATGAAATAAATTTTTCGATATACATATTCATTTTTGAATTTGAAATTCTTAAAATAGGCGATAAGTTGATTGTTCACCATTTCAGCTATAAGCACAAAAAAGAAAATGAAAAATAAGAAACATGAAACGAAAAAGAAGATAAATAAATTGATAGCAAAGAAATGACATTTGGTAAAAAAAAAAATGATTTGAAAGAAAAAAAGTCATTAAAGGAAGAAAAAATAAAGAATAAAAAAAACAGCAAAGAAAGAGTAATAAAAAGAAATTTGGAAAAAAAAGATTTGAATAAAAAGAAAGCTTAAAATGCAGAGTAAAAATAATTTGCATATTAATTATTGGGCGCGCAGCCACGCCCATCTCATTTGCATAAGTGCACTCTGTAGTCGCAGAAAATATACGCTTCGTAAACATTTCCCAGTTTTTAAAATGGTTTGATATTTCCTTTTTCTTTCTTTGCGTATCTAGAATTTATTGTGAACTGGAGATCTTTTGTCTGTTATATCGACTTACAATTTCAGTAATGAAACTAGAGTTTATTATTTTTATTATTCTTAAGGGAGAGCAGGAGCAGTACACCAAAAGCTGAAACTCGGTTAGACATATACGATACATATCCATCATGACATGCAATTTAATAAGTATATAACAACAACATGCATTACAGCTAAATTTGCGCAATATGGTGACTGATTTTGAAAAAAAAGCAGTGCGTTACTTTGTAGGGCTGGAAAAATACTTTCACATTGGGATAACCTGGCTTCCCAGACGGTCTCCTGTTGATGGTATTCCTAAGTATCTAGATGTTATATTGTCTGCTTTATACCTCAAAACTAAAAACAACAACGACAAAAATAACTTTCAACACACAACTCATGAACAGATATGCACAGTGCATCCTGAATCAGTCCGTAGGGAATATGGCGAACTGGTTAAAGTCAAGGAATTGACAAGCAAATCTGTGATAGTGAACTTGTATTTAGTGTAGCCCGTCTTTAATATACCAAAACAAAACATGTGCATGTTAAAATCCTCATTCAGTATCATTGCAAAATCCAGCACTGATGTGGTATGAATGTTCATTGTCCTTCTTCGGGTCACCAATTATCTCAGTCGAACATCTCCTTCTTCTTCTTCTTCTTCTTCTTCTTTGTATCGCTCTATCCAATTTCCTCTCCTTTGTAACCCTTAGTCAAGTTTGTCTTTATGTTATCTCTCCTAATCCCTGTTCTGTCAGCCATTTACACAAATTCGTTAGGCGGGTTATTCGATGCTTTCCTCTGTCCCTCTTGCCTTCTATATATCGTATGTGTGTGTTTCGCCAAGCCCTCTTTTCTCATTATGTGCACTAAACATTTCAAGTATCTATTTCTGATTCTACGTAGATGTGTATATTTTGTTTTTATTTTTGTGTCTTTTTTCCATGTTCAGTCTATGATTTTGTAAACGTCCTTCTGTGGCATCACATTTGTGTTACCTCAATTCTTTTCATCTGTTCTCCTGCGGCTGCAGTACATGTGGTGCCCCTATGACACTGTGGGGAAAATTGTGAAAATGGCTTACCTCGGAAACGCCCGCGAATCTGTGTGTCGTGCAAACTCCAGTTGCTCAACGATGAAAAGAATCAAAATGGCGGCACCCATGTTTTATGCCAGGCTGTCTCGGACAGTTAACGCAAAATCTCGTTGTCTCGTCATTTGCATGCAAATCATGGTCGGTCCTCGGCTGTATAAAGCGGGCGCGTTTTTGTTTCTGAGCACGGGGTTTTTTGCTCGTGAGAAGGTTGGACGTGTGACACTGTTTTGTCGGTGACCCTCCTCGCGTTTTTCGATCTGCTACTATCAGTTGCTTTACCACCACAGACCCAAATGTGTTACGGGATTCGTGATTGTGATTTTTTATAAACAAAATACAAAACGTCATGGTGCATTTTTTTTTATTTTGTCGATGTTATAATACTTTTATATTTTACTTTTATTTCTTCATTTCTTTCATTTTGAAGCCTTAGAAAATTCTCTCATATCCTAGCAGGCTTTCTTTTATTCCTGACTACACTACACTGTCTTCCTTATTCGATTGCGTAGTCATTATGACTCTAAAGGTCACCGAAAATTTAATTCTTTAATCAAAATAAAAGAGTTAAATAGCACAATCTCTTGTTCATAATGATGATGATAATCAACCCCATGTCTGGCTGTGTGCGTAGGGTCACTGTGCAGCATAACACTTGACCAGTTCCCTTCTTACATCTGGGTTGAAAGCGTATCCGGTGTTGGGTAAGTAGATCTGGGTCAGCCCACCTCCCCCGAGGTCAAACCACAGCTAAGGTACTCCAACTTGAAAGTCCGCGTGTGACACGTGGCCTCAATTCTATCAAGGGAAAACTCAGTCCTAGCTCTTGACTTAATTATAGGAAACCCTCCACCCAGCGATGATGTGCCATCACCGCACTGGCTACATACACAGCTATGGAGCCCAGTCTATCCGATTGTGATAGATGGCCGTCGACTCTATAATGCTGATTCCATTTTTTTATAAGATCTAAATGAAGCTGTTTTGTACAATTCCTAGTGTGTCACTAGCTTTAACCTGCCGTGTCTGGTGTATTTGTCGCTTTTACTTTGAGAGAGATTATGTTATATGCACATATAATGTGCTACGGAATACGTAGTGTGACCCAGAATGGCAAACTATTGGTTATGAGACACCGTAGGAGTGGAAATGTGACGGTGATGGATTGCCTTTGTTTATACGGCTGTAAGAATTTGAAGGGTCAACATGCATCACGCACCCAGACGCCTTCCTGGAGGAAGTCAGCA